ATTGTTGGTTACAATTCATTCTTTGATTTTGAGAACACAATCACCACATGTCTGACATCTAGCAGGTTGGAAATTATATTATTTCCCCTAAAAGAAATCAGAGATGCAGAGTGGTTAGGTAAATAACTTGACCAGCATCACAGAACTTATAGCTGATTAGGTCAAAATTAAAATATTGATCTGTATGTACTTCTAAGCCAATTATGAAATTTGTAAAATTATAATTAGAGTGAAACTAATAAAAGCATTTGTTTTACTGGTTGTAATATTTTAGAATATTAATGGGCATGGAGTAGATCTGCACAGATGGATGAAAAAGCCAGTGAACAGAGAATATGTAGATATGCAGACTTAAATTTTAATATCTTGATGTCTTTTATAACAAATGGTAAATTTGACAATGATAATTCAACTTCCTTGTTATCAGTTTCCTTCTTTCCTACAGTAATAATGACACTGAGGGTCAAAATAGTGAACTGTAATTAGATGATTATCCATATACTTGTACTAGACATAATATGACATATTTATAAGAAGTATAACACTAATTTTAAAAAATAACTATGTAATATGAATATAATATGTACTTTAAAAATGAAGAGGGGCTGGGGAGATAGCTCAGTAGAATAAGCACTTACCTGACTAGCACAAGGTCCTGAGTTCAATTCCTGGTACTGTAATAAAGAAGAAGAAGAGAGGAGAGCCAGCAAAATAGCTCAGCAGACTAAAGCACCTGCAAGCAGGTGCAGGGCTTGGGGGATTGATCCCCAGGCCTTCTGTGCTGGGCCTGCCCCTGGGGCATGCTGAAATAGCAATTGAGACTTTGCGTGGTGGTGCACACTTGTAATCCCAACTCTTGGGAGGCTGTAAGCAGGCAGATCACTACAAGGCTGATCTAGTAGTGAGACCCTGAATACCCTGTGCACCCTTCCCTAAAATGAAAAAAAAAAAAAAAAAAAAAAAAAAAAAAAAAAAAAAAAAAAAAAAAAAAAAAGAGGAGTTCAAATGCAGTGATGGTACATTCTTTGAACTACTAGGCTATATTGTCTCCTAAGCCAAGAGGTATAGTGTGAATAGCATATACACTATTCTTCAATTTTGACAAACTTGAATATTCAAGTTTGTCATTCTCTGGCCCTGTGGTTAATATGAGTGAATCAGCAGTTCTTCAAGTATCTTTGTTATTGTTTAGATTTTTTCCCCATAATTTTATTGAGAAACAAATAGCAATGAGACGGTTTCAAACCAAATTGGTAGGATAGTTTTGATAATTAACACGTTGCATACATTCTTCCTAGTGGTTAATTGCTGTACAAGATGCGGACATGATATCCTATTTACAAACACTATTAGAACAAATCCCTCTATTCATCAAGAGTATGTAACTATATCTATTCTAACCATTTTGAATACACAGATACAAAATGAACATTATTGTTTAGATTAAGAATATTTTGCTATAGTCTCATGAGATTCTAGGCAAAACATTTGCAAGCTGATTGGATTATGGGGCATTATTGTCAATTTGCTTATAAGATGCAAGGTCAGTTCTGAAAAGGTAAGTCTTTGGGGATATGGCCAGAAAGGATTTATCTTCTTTCATTCTGTTTCCTCTCTGCCATGCTGTGATCAGCTCTCCTCAGCCATGTCCTCTGACATGCATCCTGCCATGCAGCCAGTCAACTGTGGGCTGAATTATGACCCTAATACTGGTGTCAGGTGTTTTAACTCAGCAATGAGAAAATGCCCAAGATATCCCTCAAGCATGAGTACTAGAGTTAGAAGTTAGGTATCCTAATGTAAGTGCTACTATCTGGGTTTCATTAAATTGCATATCTATACATAAAACACAGAATTTTTACCTCAGATAGGACTTCCTTTTACAACATTCCAGCCCAGGTGTCACAAAGTTGAGCAACATTAGGAAGGTAACCATCCAAATTCATGTGAGAGAAAAGACCCTTTGTCCAGCCTCAGGTGCTTGTGAGCACTGACGACCTTATTAGCACCAGCAGGTAAATGGCCGTGATGGCCCAGAGAGGACTGGCAGAGCAGGAGCAAGGTGGATGATGAGGCCACAGCAGGCCTCCAGACAAGGTAACCAGAGCCTGAGAAGAAAGGTGGGGGAATCCATTCTCAGTGGGCATTATTTATTCCTAGAGTCTGTTACTAAGGCCAAACAGAAAGAATACCACATCTCTATAATGAAGGAAGTGTTCCACTGTGACACATCAGGTCCTGGATGATGTGAGAATATTACTCATTTTGGAATATGGTTGTTCACAATGTCAGAGCTCATGAGTAAAATAAGAGCAAGATGAAAAAGGATCTTCTGCACAGAAGGGAGATCCTGAATGTGCTCAGAAATCAAGACGAGTGAGGGTGAACAAAACAGCTCAACAAGTCTTGGCATAGTTGTGAGGTTAAATAAGGAATGGTTATAAGAAACTGCTCATGGATGGGTGGTGAGATCATTTTGCTGTAGGCAGGCTGAATAAATGCATAAATACATTGACAATAATGAAATCAAACATTCATGTAGACTTATTAGGTACTTACAAATATGGGCAGAAAAGCCTGAAACAAATCTATTACAGATCACTGTTCACAATGTTCACACACACACACACACACACACAACATACAAGTGCATGTGCGTGCACACACACACACACACACACACACACACACAAACCCAATACAGGGAAAGCCTCAGAGCAAGAATTCAGCAACAATACCAACACTAGAATCTACACTGAGTAAAGATATAGTGTCTGCTGTAGCAAAGGAAAAATAAAGGATGTTCCAGAAATCTTCCTTGATTCAGAAAGTAATTGTTTCTGCTACCAGCTACCTAATTTCATATACTCATGATTATTTGCTCACCATTGTCCAAATCAAAGGAGTCCATTGATTTTGATAAAAAGGAGAAAATATTTTACCAAAGATATCTCATAGGCGATAGAAAGTACCATTTGTCTCAAATCACCAATTCTCCATTTACATGTGGGTAAGAGTCATTTAGAGAAGAAGAGAGGAGAGAGGGGAATACAGATCTCCAAGGTTGGCTTTTCACTTCCAGTCATCTTCAGCTCATTCTCTCCTTTACTGCTGAAATAAAGTGGGGTTCCTGCCACTTGGAGCCAATATCTCCTTGTTGTGCTCAGCAGGCACAAGTTTGGAGAAGTTATTTATCTCTAAAAGAAAGAAATCTAGTTTCTAAAGTTCCAATTTGAGATGATAGCTACATTTCAAAGAATGATAAGGATATTTCAAACTATCATAGACAGCTAAATAGAACTTAACACATGGCCAGAGTGGCACTGGGTTGTCATGGAAGTCAAAAAAAGGATAAAGACATCAGAATCCTGGGTGGAGGTGCATCTGCAGGACAGTCTTGAGACATAGATGTGATGGCCAGGCCTACCCTAAGGGATAAGCTGTAACTTGGAAGTCCAGATAGACATCAGTTGCTCAGGTGGGTAACCAGAGGTTCTGGACACATCCCTTCCCCAAAATATTTTTTTTTGTTTTTTCCACATATCCTTGCTATGTTACCTGTTTTCCTGTTGTAACAATATAATCTAAGAAGCTATACCTGTAATCTTATAGGTTAATTGTAGTTGGACCCACAATGTACTCCCTTTGTGATTTTACTGTATAAATTACCCCCGAAAAACCACCTCGGTGCCAACCCACTTATTGGTCCACTCCTGTTTCCCAGAAGTTCTCTCTCAATAAATTTTTCCTACTATTAACCTCCATTGTTCCTCAGAATTCATTCCACAATTTCAAGGGACAAGAATTTACATTATCTGATATGTAGCAAGTTGTGACTTATTTTTTTCCTGTCCCTTTATCAGAAAGACAGAGTCTTCCTTGAACTGGGTTCTGTTGATTAAACAGAAACAATATTGAGTATTAAATAAGCAACCATGGGCTATAACTCATTTATTAAAATTAGAAATCATGGATTTATCCTACACAACAATTGTAGCAATATATAAATAAAGCGGGTAAATGTTCAGTAAGAAGCTATTTATTTGCACTTCGAATTGCCAACAACAAACTAGTAGTGACAAAAGACAAACAAAAGAAGACCTTAACCTGAAGAAATCTGTGAGTAGCCAGCGTAATCAAATGGTCAGTTACCTTTAGCAGTAATGAGATAAACACAGTCCTGAAATGCCATGAACAGCATAAAATGTAATGAATGCATCATCCCTGAATTCAGTGACCACAAAAGGAACAGTGATTTTTCTCCCCAGAGGAGGAGGATGGGGGTATAGAAGACAAAGCAGTGGGACCACAGTACTCTGAATGGATTTTCATCATGGCGATTTTTTTTTTAGTGGAAAAGAACCAGTCTTCACTGGTTTCTTACGGTTTTGAAAAATCTTCATAGACTGTCCTATTGTCTCTATTGATGTTGGGCAGCTCTTACCAAAACTATGTAATCCTTGTACATAGCTGCTCAGACAAGCCCAAATCAAGTAAAACTTCACTACATAACTTCTGTGTAATCTTAAGAATAAGAAATAAATAAATAAAACAAAGCAAAGACAAGGGACATACTCTAAACTGAAAGAAACAGCAGTAAAAAAATGAAATAAGTGAAATTTTTAATTTTAAACTTCATTCTCTTGTTATAAAATATTTTATCAGGAGGAATTAGAAAATAGGGCTAAAGGATTAAGTGCTGATCATGAATCAATGTTAACTTTTGGTATGCTTGGTTCCATTGAGATTAACTGAAAGAATGTCCTTGCTTGGTTGGAAATATAAAACTATTCTATTTACAGTTAATAAAGATCAGTTAACAATATCACATTTTGTGGCTTAGAAAAAATATCTGTATCCTCTTTGCAACATTTTGTTCAAGTTTGAGATTGTTTCCAAATAAAATTTTTTAAAGCAATCTGTGTAGATTTTATATTTAATAAATCCATGGGCTCACAGCAAGGGCAAACCTCTTATGTGATATTCCTTTCTGTTTCCAGAAGGCCGGTGGAGCAGACCTATTTTCACTCAGGAACCTCAAGACGTCATTTTTCCTTTGGATTTATCACGATCTGAAATCATTCTGAATTGTGCTGCTAATGGTTACCCTTCACCCCAATATAGGTAAAATCCTATCTCTGGTCACCATCCATTTTTTTCTTTGTCACTGATGTAAAATTTTTGTTACAAAGTACTTAAACTATTCTAATTTAAGTGTAGAGCTCTGGGCATTTTTCCATTGATACACAACAATGGACTGCTAGATATATCTTTGTAGCACCCAAAATTGTTTCATTAATGCATTGTCCCAGTTAGCACTTTCAGGTAAATGTTGGGTCTTATGTCATCGATTAGGTTTGCTTACGTTTCTTCCTAAGAATGGTGCTATGCAGTAGCATACTATGTTTAGAACTGAAAAAGAATTGGAAAGAAAAAGGAGAGATTAAAAGAGAGAAGCATAAAAAGCAGAAGGAAAGAGAGGCATAAATGATAAAAGAAAGATTTATGCCCCCAATGTGAAGCATTCCATACAATGTCATTATGTATTCCTCATCTCTTAACGAATTGAGACTAGTGCGTCAGTTGCTACATATACAATGATATTGAAAATTAAAGTAGAAATTTAAGTTCATATTATATCTATAAAATTCTGTAATTCCAGTATTCTTTTCACTAAACTACACTAATTTTAGGGAAAAACAAGTTTCAAATAACCAAGTGTCTTCAAAGGCAGAAAGAGTATTTTATGTACACACACACACACACACACACACACACACACACACACACACACAGTATTTTTCTATTACTAGGAAGCCTATCTGCCTAATGTCTTCCATATATTACCTGTGAAATAGTAGGGAGATTTTTTCTTATTTATACTGCTATAGAAAAGGCAGAAATTTCTTATTTATACTGCTGTAGAAAAGGCAGAAATTTGATCCACATGGGTAAAACTGTGTGCCTGCATAAATTATGTTGGTATAGATTACAATAATATTTTCCTGGTAAGAATTTTGTATGCAATGTGAATAAATATAGCAAGAAAAAGAACAAACATTAAAAGGACATTTGTAAGTTATACAAAGCAAGTTATTCCAAGTTCTGAAAGCATTTTCTTTGGGATTCTTACTTTTTAAGAATTCAGTTACCAAATACAAGGCAACAGTTTGAGTCTATTTGGGAGAAATAAGATTGTTGTTTTGAATTTTTAGGTTGCAGTAAAAGCCCAGACCATGGGTATCACTTTAAGTTGTCTGTCTACATTAGTTAACTAAATTACATACATGCACAAAATAATGATATCTCTACATTATCATTTTATGAAGAGGACTAAAAATTCTAAAGTTCACTGGTTTATGTTTCTTAGGTATTTTTAAACTAGAATACTAAATAAAAGTAATTTAACATCTTAAAAGTTCGCTCAGTCATGCAGTTTTGCGTACCTTTTGTACCAAATTAAATACTCCAGCTCTGGAAAGAGAGTGAACTAAGAATTTAAACTGTAATGCCAACGTGTCAGACTCAGACCCATTTTTCATTGATAATAAGACATAATAGAAAGTAGCAACAAGAGATGAAATTGTGTTTTAATAGTATAGACAGCTAAATTAGATAGAAATTAGTGCACAATCAGAGATTGAACACAAAAAATAAAGACATAATATTTGTGGCTGAATGAAAATCTAGGTAGCCAGGCTCAGCATCAGAAAGCAACAGCAAGGCCTACGGCCATCCTAAACAACTCAAGACTGTACTGCCGGTAGCATCAGCTGGTCCCGTGTGCCAGCAGACATGAGGTGCTCTGGTAGGTAGCATCCAGGCCCACACTCGCCTCCCTCAGCAGAATGCCTTTGTCCTCCTCACCTACCATGCTAAGCAACTTACTTTTTCTTGGATCAATATTCGCTAAGTGGTTGTCCTTCTCATGCCATAGCTGTCTGACCCATGCAGCAGTTGTGTTGTGACTTCTCTGTGTACTACCCCTGACAAAGGGAGGGCCTCAGTGGCCAGTCACTGTAGGCCCCTTATAGAAATCCAAAAGCTCTTCTTGTTTTCAGGAAAACACTCCTAAATTTCTTTCTATGATTACCGACTTCATTCCTTAAGGGCCTGGGGCCATGAAATTTGCACTTTTGCTATGTAATACGCCAGGAGTCATATATCACCTTTATCATTATGACACTTAATAATTTACATTTTGTTTTAAAATCTCATTCAAACATTTTTCATTAGACTGTGCACAAATGCAAGTGTGCTAACGTGAAAATTATTCATGCTCACAAATTCCAGGAGTGTTTGAGTTTCTTAAGATATAGGGTAAAGCAGTGCAATAAAGCATCATTTAGAACTAAGAACTGATGCTTCCAGTCACAACTCAGTATTCCACGAGTGACCTTGAAGGGGCCCTCCCTCCCTTGCTCCCAGCATCCCTCCCTCCCATCCTCCCATCCTCCCTTCCTCCCTCCCTGTATCCCTCCCTCCCTGCATCCTTCCCTCCCACCCTCTCAGATTCCCTCCCTCCCTCAGCTTCTTGTCCATAGTGTATGCTTTCCTGCATGGCACATTTAAAAAAACAAAGAAAATACATGTGAACTATATTGTTGAAAAAAATTAAATAGGATTATGGTACCAAATTTTAATTCTTCTACTAGGAGATTTGAGATGTGTCTTTCTTTTAGTAACTATAGTATAAAAAATGAAATCTCCTGTGGAGAACAGTTATCTTAAAAGTCGAACTTTGGAAATAGTTTAAGAACAGTTTTTCTAAAATAATTTTTAAAGAAATAAATACCTTTCATCCTCTGAGTAAAACTCCCATGAGTTGTCACTTTCTACCATTTTGACTTACTTTTTTATCTCATTTTAACTTCATGAAATGAGGAAGGATACATATTATTTTTAAGTCATGGAAATAATTTCTGTAAAAATCATACTTGACTTGTGTCCAAGGGTACCTAGTACAGCAGTGATAGGGGTCAGACTAGGACTCTTGCCACACAGCAGAAGTCCCAACCTTGCTGTGCATTACAATGAGCAAAAGAGGCCTAAACTTCAGATTTTAGAATTTTCCTTCAGAGCTCTGGCTCCATACTGAGAAAGGGGCACTTGTAATAATCACTTAAATAATGCTGAGTTTTGCAAAGCAAACACAAATGCGCGCGCGCGCACACACACACACACATACACACACTACTATTAGCAAACACATATCCCCTAGTCATTAACAAGTGACTAAACTGCCTAATAGTAAAGACTGTTTCCCAGGAAAAGTTGAATATTTTAGTTTAGATGCATTATGATTTCTGGAATTAATATATTAATTCACATATTTAAAATAATTACTTAAGACATTTCCTAGCTATCATTGCAAGAAAATACTGATGTGCAACACTATCAGTAACACATGTATGAGAATCACTTGAATTCATTGATCCTATTTCTCTATTGCTTTAAACATATTAATTAGGACAAAGCCCACACCAGGAGTTGAACTTGTGATCTATATGCTTAGTTTAATAATCATTGTACCGTAGTGATTAGAATGATTACTAGGATACTGCGAAGAATTCATTCGCTGTGGCTAAGCCAGCAACTTTGAATTTGTGTTGAAAAACAATTACTGGGCTTAATTAGAAGCATGTAATGATGACAGCAGTTATTTCAGTGATTGATTCCAAAATTAAAGAGAGCTGGCAAACTAAATATGGTATATCCCTTGTTTTGGAAGTAATAGGGAACATAGAGGTCCAAAGACCATGCCCTATAAGCAAATTATGAGACAGTGCAACAGCTCTGGAAAGAAGAATATTTGCCTCTTTTTTTTTCTTTCTTTTATAGAAGTTGAGAAGGTTTTTTTTTTTTTTTTGGCTGGCTCAGAATGCCTTAAGGCCGGGTCTGGGGATTGAACTGCAGTCCACTACACCTGACTGGGTTTGCCGAAGCAGGCACTTAAACCACTGAGCTAACCTCCAAACTCCCTTGGCCTCTTGAGAAAGACCTAGAGAAGAAAAAAACTTACTTTTTCTTTTGCTAATATTGAGAACAAGAAGCAGTCTAAACAAATTCCTATATAAAATAAATAGCAGGAAATCTAGTCTACTGCATTGCTCTCTTCGACTGTGATCTTTCAACTTTATTTTATTAAAAAGAAGTTGAGGAATGCAGGAAGTAGCTAAATAATTTAAAAGTAATGGAATTTGTCAACAGTCTCTGATGGACTTGATACTTCATCTATTACTGCTCATTTTTAATAGGTTAGAGAATCACTTAGGTCCAAATTTCTTTCTTACTTTTTTTGTATTTGTTATATTCTCTTCATGGTATGTATCAAGGCACTCCCAAAATATACTAGAAATAATTCTCTTTTAATGTTTATTTATTTATTTTCCCATAATTTTATTGAGAAATAAATAGTAATGAGACAGTTTCATATTGAATTGGTAGGACAGTTCCAATAATTAACACATTGCATACTGCCTTCCTAGTATTTTTTGTTGTACAAGATGCAGACATGATATCCTATTTACAAACACTATTAGCACAAATCCCTCTATTGCTTGAAATAAGAGAGTATAGCTATATATCTACCCTACCATTTTGAACACACAGATACAAAATTGTCATTCATTTAAATGCCCTTTTTTGTTTAGTTCCATCACTTAAATATTATAGGTGTGAACTCAGAAAAATATTCTAAAATAGTCCAGTAGTACATAATAGTATTGGGTCTTCCACTTGACTAGCAATGTCAGAAGATGTTGACCCGAGTCCCCTACATCTCAACAGAACAACACAGCTTTATTTATTGTACTTCATTTTTATACTTCTCTGCTGGATGGTTAAGACCAAGATGAAGCAAGACCTATGTAACAAGAATTGTAGTTTTTGTATCTGATATGGTCAGTCATATGCCCTCAGGATTTGAGACTCTGAGATCCTGTACCTCAGATTATAGATCCTTTGTCAGTGTCAGTCATGTGGAAGAGTCACGACCATTGCTTGGCCAATTTGCTCTCTATGAAAGCCTGAAAGAATGTTTTCTCTCCATGTGACTCTCCTTAGGCACACTGTACATCATCAATCACTTTCTTCTTTGGCCCCATAATTTCCTTCATCAGAAA